ATGAACTGAATATGACAGATGTACAGTACCATTAAAAAAAAAATAAATAAATAATAAATTAGAAAATGTGTAATTAAATTAAAATATATAAATAAAAACGAGTATATATACTATCCTAAATTAAATCTGTTCAATATTGTGCTTTTAATTTTTTGTTTTTTCAAGCATTGTAAGGCTTAACATCTCTGGTTACTCAATGTAACCGTAGTTCCCTAATCGAGTCGGTTCCTCAACATTACATATGGGGAAAACCCTTTTCCTCGAAATGCTGAAGCCTGATTGAATTACTCTTTTGCTTGCAAATAGCCAATGGCGTCCGATTATTCACCTGATTGGCTGTGACAGCCACTACCTGTATTTAGGCGACGTCGGGCGCCAGATTTTTTCGACTGAACGAGACCTATTGAAGCTATGACGAGACTTTTCACACTGCAATTTACGTAATGTCTTGTTTCCTCCTCTCAGGTAACTACGGTTACGTCGAGTAACCAGATACGAGTCAGTTTCCTAATTGAGTCGGTTCCTCGACATTACGTATGGGTCAACCCGGTCTCATCCCAAGACATCATATAACTGACGTTTTGGGACGTCTTTTGACCATACGTCAGTATTCGCCTTTTTAGGGCCCCCTTAAACGTCGGTAGATGAGGTTATGGGATCCTAACTCTACCCCAGACCTAAACCTAACCCTAAACCTAACCCGTCACCTAACTGACGTTAAAGGTAAAGCGTCAGTTGTATGACGTCCCGGGATCGCCATCTACCGACGTTTAAGTGGGCCCTAAAAAGGCGGATATTGACGTATGGTCAAAAGACGTCCCAAGACGTCAGTTATATGACTTTTTGGGATGAGACTGTGTTATATGGGTAGTGTATAAAACCCGGGCGTGTGAAAATTGGCCGGTCCAGCTCGCACAGAGCCGATGCAGAGGACCAGGCACTAAGGCATAGCAAAGACTATCAGCGCGCTCGCTCCTCAAGGTAAGGTACCGGAGCTGGTTGAAACGCCTAGATGCATTTTGGCATAGAGCCAATTCAGCTGTCCGCGTCTCCCAGTACACAGTTAAGCAGCACTGAACTGATGTGATATACAGTAGGGGGTGGAAAATGGTGCTTGAATATACTCCCGGCCTCAATAAGCGGGCATAGATAATGGGAACAACATTAAGAATGTGTTTTATTTAAACAGTAGATCATTTCACGGACGCAAGAGAATAACATGACACTGTAACGTCTCACTCTGCTTAGACGACCTGGTTGAAACCATGGCTTAAAACATGCGTCAGTCTTCAGGCGACTCGGCCATCCAATGACAGAACAGACAGAACGTGTGGTGCAAACGAGGGAATGTCCAAGTTATAAAATCTCGCAAAAGTGTTGTAAGATGACCAGCCTGCCGCGAGGCAAATTTGACATCAATAAACATACCTTTAGTCCAAGCCCATGACGATGCCAAACTCCTAGTAGAGTTGGGACGCACTTCTATTGCGCAATCGAGTCCACAGTCGTACAGCTTCCACAATCCAGCGTAACAGCCTCTGTTTCGACAGCGAGCCGCCCTTCTTAGCGCCCGCAAAGCAGACGAAGAGCTACTGAGGCTCGAAACTGGCTAGTTCCAACATGACATCATGACTTTCGCGTACACATATACGCCACTTTCGAGTCAGGTGGCGTGTTATCTCCACGCATTTTGTGCTATCCGCGTGTATCCGCGTGTAAGCGTATACAGGGGTTGGACAATGAAACTGAAACACTGGCCAATGTTGGAGGTTTCACATCTATATGCCTGGCGGCCAATCTTCAGAGTGAAGCACGGGTGGATCAGTGATGGTTTGAGCTCCAATATCATGACAATCCTGATTGTATTTGATGGACATGACACTGCCGAGGACTACCAAACCCTTCTGGAGGATCATGAGCACCTGATGCTCAAACCGTGTATCAGCATGATCATGCACCAACACACACAGCAAGACTTGTGACAGAAGGGTTTGATGAAGATGAAAGTGACGTTGAACATCTCCCATGGTCTGACAGTCACCAGATCTGAATATTATTGAGGTGTTTTGGAGGAGCGAGTCCACCAGCATCATATAGTGACCTGGACACTGTTCTGGAAGAGGAACGGCTCATAATCCCTCTGGTCACTGTGAAGGACTTCTGTTTTTGGATGCAAAATGAGGCCCTCACCATTCTAACAAGTTATTGTGTAGTAAAACCAGGTGTTTCAGTTTTTTTGTCCAACCCCTGTATGTCTACGCCATTAACGTCCGCGTCATTCCGCGTGTCCGAACACGCAGTCAAATCTCCAGTCATAAATGCCATTAACCCCAGTGACGGTTAGGTTTAGGGACGGGCTTGAGGTAAGTCATATATTTATATAACGTTAAGTCAACGGCGTTCATAAACACGCTGAAAGGCGATTATGCGTCTTGATAGCACGCCAAAAATGGAAATACGAATTGCCGTGTCATACACACGCAACTTCATGAGATCAGTCTGCTAGTTCTGTTCACACAAGCATTTAGCGGATGCACGGGGAACAGAGCGCATTTCTGTGACACTGAATTAGAGGTTAGCTCAGAGGAGCAAAACGCTTGTGTTGTGATCACCTGGGCGCAAGTCTGACCATGCAATCGCCTGGGCCGAACTGCATACAAGCACTGTTGACTGACACCGTTTTCCACATGCTAGCGCGAGTAGCAGCGCCGTCTTAAATGAGAGCACTTTTAAGTCGCTAGATTCGGCTGGTTTGAATGGTGGGTCGGACAGCGCACTGAGCACTAATGATGGGTCACATACGGGCATCTGACGAAGGCGGGGAGTATTCACCCGCCTCGCCCCCCGAAGGAAGCTCGTTGTTAGCGGGTGTTTACCCTCTGAACGGCCATACAGCATGTCATGAGAGGCGGCGGTAGCGGCCACGTAAACTTTCAATGTAGAGGGGGACTGCCCACATCTAGACATTCCTGCAGGAAGGTCAAAACAACCCCCCTCAGGTCTTCATGTCTGCTAGTACACCAGTTTGCAAACACTCTCCATTTCAATGCGTGTAAGTGCCTCGTTGAAGGAGCTCTGGCCTCCTGTGAAATGATCCGCTGGTTCAGTCCACACTGATCTGCCACACAATTCCGGACTGGGGTGCCATATGGCGCCCTTCACCTGGGACAAAAGGTTTGCGGGGTGTCCTTTTGGCGGCTCGCGCCAAGGAATCCATCTCTTGGATGGCTGTTTGGGGGTCGCTCAATCCAACTTTAAATCTGCCACTGCCTACTTGAGGACGGAAATCAGCTCTGCATCCAGCAAGGTCGGACCTCAGGTCAAGCACCCGGTTCAGAGGAACTCGTGGACATGCCGTAATCCTCTCCACAGCCGAATGAGACCATTTCCTGCGCTTCTTTCGGAGGGTGGGAACTATCCTCAACAAATGTGAGAGGGGGCTCTGGTGTGATGGTGACGTGGAGAGTCCTCCGACGAAGTTCCCTGTAGTCTACTGGTTCGATGGCGGTGGGCGGAGGAGAGGCAGGAGCCACAGGCCGCCGCTGCCAACAACAGCCAACCTTGCACGAAGGATCTTTATTGGAAATTTTTTGTTTGGCAAAGAGACATTCTTGGAAATGATAATCCACTAGAATGCAAGAGGGGATCGCAATCCACGTTGTCCCATCTAGCCCCATAGGTCAACGGCGAAACCAGCCTCCAGGTGAATAAGAAAGACTCTGAAGGTATTTTGGCGCCTGGCGTCACCTATATAGTGGCTGTCATAGCCAATCAAGCAAATACTAAGAAGCCATTGGCTATTTGCAATCAATCAGGCTTCAGCATTTCGAGGAATTTGGTTTTCCCCATACGTAATGTGGAGGAACCGACTCGATAAGGGAACTATATTCATATGCCCTTGTCATGTGTGGAGGATGATGGGCTCTGACTGGCTCTTTTTGAAAGAAAGCATTGGAATTACAGTATTGGTTCAACACCATGAGCCCCTCCACCATATCAACAATTCACCAATTTCACCATTTCATATGTAAACACATAACTACTCTCTTCTTTTGAATTCTGTACAAGTGATATTTACAATAGACAACACAGAGGAATTAATTGAGCTTTTTTTCATTGACGAAGCCAAGAGATTCCTTAACTGCTGGCTTTTAAAACAAAATCAGTATGAATATGTATAATGCTTCAAGATGATCAAAGCGCATATATTGTCTGTAAACATACATCCAATCAGAAATAAATAAGTTGAATAATACTCTCGACATGGCATGCCCACATAGAGGTGCAAGTAGTGTTTAAGATAGACAATAGAAGCAAGATAAGGAGAGAAAAAAAAACGCTCTATTTTCCAAAGATTGTGAGGTTCATAGCCTTGAATCTTTGGAAGATATCGCTCAATGTTTCATTTGAGACACTTTGCAGCTGGTAAACGAGATCTTCCAGTGCGACTGTAGGTAAAACTTTATTTTAATAGTCCACTTTAGACATGGTATTAGTAGACTGCCTGCTTAATATCTACTAAACAGTCTACTAACAGTCTACTAATAGTCCAATGAGAGTTAGTTGACATGTGCTTGACTGGTTGCTAATAATAGAACATCTAAAGAGGACCATCGGAATAAAGTATGTATAGCCTACATTTTTATTTTGTGTCAAACAATGACCCAGTTTCACAGATAGGGCTTAGATTAAGCCAGGAATAGGCCTTAGTTCATTTAGGGCATGCAAGAAGCTTTTATAAACGTGACTTAGAAAAATCAAAACAATACTGGTGTGAATCTTGAGCCAAAGCAATGACACTTACATATTTTAAGAGATATGTCAGTGCAAGTTACATTGAGGTAAAACAGCTCAAACATGCCAACATTTTAGTCTGGGACTAGTCTTACGCCATGTCTGTCTCAATTTCCATTAATTTCACTAGTGTTTCTGTGCAACTATTCACAGAGACATCCGTATTGTGCCATCGATTAACCTCGTGGACAAGATTTTTGTCAAAATTTAGAACCAATATATTCTCACTCAAAAGTAGACAAAAACCGTAGCATGAAAAATCGCTTTGCGTGCAACCACTAAGACAATAAGAAATTGCTTGCTTGCATTTTGCTTTATGTGTCTTTTATCATTATAATTTTAGGTAAAATGTCTCCACATTCCTTTTTTTTTGTAAAACAAAAATTATTTGTATCCTTTTACACATATTTTTGAGCACCTAATCCCACTCATACCCTAAACCTAACCACTTTTCAACAAAAGATGAAGAACAGTCACAGTAATTTTACATACAAGTATGAATAATGACGTGTGGTGCATTACAAGGAGCAATATGTTCTTTTTATGTGAGGAACAGAGTGAAATTCAAGGTTGTAATCACTGGAAATCTTAATGCTCTTGAAGACAGCCACACACCTCAGCATTCAATAAATGACGCTTGTTCAGCAAGACTTGGAATATATTTGCAAGTTTTGAATAAATAATTGCGACTGTACTTGTATCCTGTTCCTTCATGTTGTTTTATATTGAGAAATGGTTCGAGTTAGGCGCTCGAGAAGACGGGTTAGGTGCTCAAACTGTCTAAATTGTAAACTCAGGGATTGGCATTAACTTTTTTTGCTTGGTGGTTTTCCAAAGTTACAAGGCACTCATCGATACCATGGGGGGAAACTGCCATATAGATAATTTTAATATTATCTCATAATTTGGCAGCAGGTTTGTTAGGCTGCTGTCACTTTAAGACCTGTCGCACAGATCCATTATACTCTTACACATGCGTTTCTCAACTGTTAACGTTCAATTCAAACATGACTGACTGTGTTTAGACGTGAATAGTCGCCAGGACCAGCACTTTGACATTATTTTGTGTGTATTTGACCGTTGAAGTGCAATAGGCAGTGAGAAATAACTTAAGTACTAAGAGGAGGAGTCAAATTATGCACAATATGAGCAATTCCACGGCGAAATTCAATCCCTGTAACAGTAACAATATTCATCCGAAGCAAATGAAACGAACGAGTGAGGAGAGGCGGGTCTCTGTGTAACTCACTGTCAGGGAGATTCTGCGATAAATGAGTTTTGGATATTTCAATATCGACGTGTATCAAAAATCTATAACACTACATTGCACTTAGTTTTTTTTATTTTCAGATGCCTTTTTGAAAAACTACTACTGTAAAATTGCTATATTATATATCAAATTCGACCCGCCAAAATGGCTAGAAGGAGTGACTGCGTTAAACGCCATTGTTGAAATACACCCACATTTGGCGAGAGTTAATGTCAAGCCCTGAGTGTAGTGTTAATTAAATGATTATGGCTTAACCTAACAATCAAAACTCAACACTTGAGTCATAATGACAAAATTATACCTCAATATAGAATTTCCTGACAATGAAAACCCATCCGTGCATTGACAGGAATGGCTTCTCATTAAATGCACTGGTAATCCTAGCCTGTAGATAACGTATAGCAATTTCCAAAGGTGTGCCTTTAGCATCTTAATAGTGGCAAGGCATCTGTCAATGCTGCAGTTTTTGATGCCTTCGGAGTGAGAACGGTTTGAGACTACACACAAGGTGTCAAGGTTTGGTCACTAGGTCTTGTAACTACACCATTTTGCTATATATATAGAGAGAGTCTGATTAATACAATATTTATCTTTTTGCCAGTGGCATGTTATTTTTGGAGTGCTCTCACAAATGGGAAACAGGTTTATATTTTTTCTTGTCTGTTGCCATTCACATCAAAGTAATCGCGCTGCTGAAGGGTTTGGGTTTAGATTTGTTCCTCAGATGCTATCAGCTAATACGCATTGGCATTTCCTGTTGAATAACAATCAGTCATGTGGCATTTTCCCCATCATGAACAATGATGGCAGAATTCAGGTCACATACTTTTAAGCATCAGGAGAACAACTGCAATTGAGATGAATGGGAATGCTAATGGTTAGACTAGCATTACACAAGATTAATGGGAGCTATAAAAGCGATTCGAGTTAGCAGCTGAATCGAGTGGTTTGGAGTAGGGACACCTTCAACTTCCACTTCTGAACATCAAAATGAAACTAGCATATTGGAAATGTAAAGCTCACCAAAGTGTCGATAAACTTTAGAGTAAAGGATTTGAGTGACACGTTTTACCAAAGTAAATAAGTGTATAATAAAATTCTCTTGAATAAATAAACTATCATCTGTGTGTAAAGTAGAAAATACCACCATATGATAAAACTATTCCTATAGTCTCTTTACTCAACAGACCAGAACAAAAGAAAACGTCTCAGGTTACGACTGTAACCTATGTTCCCTGAGAACAGGGAACGAGACAATGCGTCATTCGACGTATTGTTGAGTTCCCTTCGAAAGGGAACTTCAAATAAAGGAATAGATATATTAAGTTATTGAGTGCAGCTTTCTTATCAATTGCTAAAGGAGGAAAGAACTGACAGTGAAGTGCTGTGGATGTCTAATTTTTAAGTCTTTGAGTTTTCCGTTGCTAAAAAGCTATAACTGATTTGATCATTTTGCAACAAAACCGATATACCTAATATTGAACAAAACGCACTAAAACTACTGGATTTTGAAATAGGCACCGTTTGTTCTTAATCTCTTTAGAGTATCGTGTCAGCCAGCAATTAAGGTGAACCCAAGGTTAAAGAGAGTTAGTCCTGATTTTAATCTGTCAACATAAGTCCTGCTTGTATTGCGAAATCAGACGCAGGATAACGGAAGAATATACTGACGTAAAAATAAGTGGCGCTTCTTGGACGGCCCCGCGATCCACTTAGTTGACATAATAAAGCCAGTAGATGACATTGAAGAAAGAAAACACGGTGGGGAAGATCATTCTCGACCATTTGTCGATTGAATTTACATCAGTTAAGTCAGGGATGTTGATTTTAAGCTGCGAAGTGCGCCGTCGTAGTCGGCTCTTCTTCTGAGCAACGTGGCGTTCCAGCGCATTGTGCCCAAAGTTGTGCCTGGCCAGGCCGGCTTTCCGATACTGCAGCGTGGTGCTGTCAAAGGCCAGCATGGTGGAGCGGGGGTCGCCCAAACCCAGGCTTAACTCGGACGTGCCCATTTCATTCTTGATCTCCAGAGGACTGAGAAGGATGTTTTCATGGGGGTCCATCTAAGACATAAATACAGATGGACAGGTTAGTAATGGTAACAGTTACTTTGTTGCGCATTATAACCAATATCAATTGGACAAATTCAATTGGACAATATCAATTCTTTTTTTGTATTTAAAAAAACAATATACATTTCCAATAAAATGTATCACATTTACATAAAGCAAAGATTAAGAGGAAAATAAAAGTGCTTACTTACCTACTGCTTTTCATGAATCATTCTTTATACTTTTGAACACAGTATTTAACATAGACTGAGACAAACCAACAAAGTGCCAGAAACACAGTATAATGGAAATGGGTTTGGTGCACATAGAGATGTAAAGCAAGGTGAGGTAAGGTAAGGCATGGTGGTACACATGATAGTATTTACGCTGTATATTTCTACAAAATTATGACTTTTTCATGACAAAAAATAAGGGCCGATATGTAGAAATATCTAATTAATACAATATATATATATATATATATAAAAATGTTCAATTGTTCTCCCTTGTTTTCAAAACATTTGACCTTTTCCTTTCTGAATTGTACTTTCAATTGTATTTTATTAAATTGTATCTAAAATAGTAAACATCTGTTTTGGTGAGTGGTTCTGAGGGAAAAGAGAGGTGATGATGGTAATGAAAAAAAAATTCTGTTATGATTTACTCACCCACATGTCATTCAAAACCTGACTTTCTTCATCAAAACACAAGGAGAGATTTTGAAAAATATTCTGCCCACTCTTTTTCTATATATTGAAAGAGAACTGGACAAGTTCCAATATGACAAAAATGCATTAACCTAGCATTAGCGTTATTAGCCTGGTTAAGTTCTCAGTTGTAACTGATATCCCTTTTCCACCAAGGCAGAGCTGGTGCTGGTTCGGAGCCAGAGCCTAGTTTCATCGGTTCTTTGTTTTTCGACCACCAAAGCACCAGCTCCAAACCACTAAAAGCGGTTCTTAAGTAGCACCAAATCATTGCTGGTCTAGAAGTAAGAACCGCTTACGTCAGCGGCTGGGGGCGGGGTTACCGTGACCAACAAGATGAACAGAAACTTGTGGCCACCATTTTTTAAATAGAAGCTAATCATGCTAATAGCAGCTCGATTGTAATCTCCGTTAAAGCAAGTTACGGCGAGCTGCGCGAACGTGATGGATTCGCCGTATTTGGATACCGATGTTGGTTTGCAAAGCTATGAGCATAAATAGTAACGCAACGACCGCCATTGTTGATGGAAGGCTTGTTCGAGATGCATCGGAGTGGCGTGGACTGATCGGAGTGTTTGGAGAGCGTACGACTCCTTCTGCTTTTGAATCGCTCTCGCATTTCGAGATTCACAGCGCCGAACCATCTTGAACAAGCCTGGGGTGCGTTTCCCGTACAACGACGTAGTTCGCTGATTCACTACCATAGTACGATGCATCGTTGGAAAGATCAACTAGCTAGTCAAGGCTGTTTCCCGAAACCCACTGTCGCAAAGAATCGTTCAACCACGTTGGTTTCGCACGTGGTGGAGTAATAATACTTTAAATGAAACTGTTTGAGATCCAATTAACGCTAGATTTTTTTAAATATAAATTACAGACATGTCATCTGAGGACTATTTCTAATTGTTTTCAGTTATTTTGCTTTATTACCAGACTCAATATTTGGCTCGTTCTTACATAGTAGAGCACGTTCGCACATGCGCACTCTTCAAACACGTTACTTCCAATCTTTTGACAAACTAAAAGACGTAAATTCCATTTGTATGTATTCTAAATAAAAGACACCGGTTGTACAGAATGTCAGCTTGCTTATTTTGCTCAAGATAAGGATTTATTACGTCCAAATGTCATGAAATATAGAAACGATGCCTCTAACCACAGGTCGAGAGCTGTCGTTCAAACCACACAACTTTGCGATGCTGTTTGCGAATGTTCGTTGGAACGATGGTTTCGGGAAACACCGACTCGTTAAACTATGCTGATAACGACGGAACTTGCGACCATAGTTGGCTAACGATGCTTTCGGGAAACGCATTCCAGGTGTGTTTGTGTGTGTCGCGCTAGCATTTCTGGGCAACATGAGATGTATATACATTGACGTACGAACCGGCTCTGTGATGGCTGTGATGGTTTGAAAAGGCAAACCGGTTCTTTGAAAACTCGTCAGTCAAACCAACTCCGAACCGGCACTAGCTCTAGCTCTGAACCAGCACCTGGTTCTTGCTGGTGGAAAAGAGGTATGAGAGTATGTCTGGGGAAGCTTCCATCAAGGGGCGTCACCAACGGACGTCGCTCAAATGCCTCTGGGCGCAATTGGATAAGACCTAAAACCAATCAGAGCTTTCGTCATCGTGTAAAGCCCGCCTCAACATTTGTGATTGATGCGTCGATTTGGAAAAATTTGAAATGGGCTTGAATGGGCTCTTGGCCAGACTGACTTGCAGAGCAAATCTCAAATTTAGGAACTTTACGTGACTTTTGCAGAATCATCTGAAGCTGCAGAATAAGACCACGGAAAATCTTCCCTTCTGAAGAAAGTCATAACAGAGTTTAGACAACATAAGAGTGTTTAAATGATGACAGAATTTTCGATTTGGGTCAGCAATTTTTTAAGAAGAAACAAGAAATCGTAAAAAACAACAGCAACACCACATTCTTAATCCCAACTCGTCACATTGACATACAGGATACCCCTTTAGCACAATTTTTCGACATGCAAGGTACTCCATTGCTTTTAATTAGAAACATTAGGAATTAATACACAAACGCAATGGTCATGGGAATTTTGTCATCATGATAAAAAAATAAGTGTATAATTTTGCCATTATGACATGCAAAAAAGTTGGTGTTTGGATTCAAATGCTTAAGAGTCTATGATTGGATCATTATTGCAGTGATTATTATGTTTCTAGAATGTTGAATGCTTGGCGACAGTTCTTCTAACCCTAGGTGATGGGGCATGTAACTTTTCATTTCTTAAATAACCATGAAGCCATATTCAAGGAAGACAATGTCAAGATTCATTAGGCTCAAAATCTGAAAACTTTACAAAGTACTTGATGCTTGTATTGACAATATAATATCTTGAACAAAAATTTGATGCCCTTCTTGATTGGTCAAGATCTTGTATTGTCAAGGCAAGAGTCCAGCACTCTGTAAAGTCTCCTCCAGCACATCCCAAAAACTTTCACTGAATTTAAGGTCTGGACTCGGAGGCGACAATTCATGTGTGAAAATGATTATTCACTCTCCTTCCCAACCATTCTTTCACCATTTGATCCAGATGAATCTTGACATTGTCATCCTTGAATATGGCCATGATGTGTCTTCCTACATGGTTGTTTAAGAAATGAAAAGGTCAAATCAATCAGGGTTAGAAGAACTGTTGCCAATCATATAATACGCTAGAAACATAATAATCACTGCAATAAGGATCCAATCATAGACTCTTTTGCCTAATTAAACCCAAACAGCGACTTTTTTTTTCTTTTGGGCGGGGAGTGTATATTGTGATATGATTTTCAGTTTAAACAGCCAGAATAATTTTTCTTACATTACACTATTTCAACATTTTTGTACACATAACCCAACCCATTTGTATATTATATAATATAAAACACAGGATATAACAGGCAGATACAACTACAGTCACAATTCATTCAAGATGTACATATTGGAGGGTTCTGAGGCCAAACGATTGATTTACAAGACCCAAAAAGTGATCATCCGCCATAAAGCTCATTTCCTAGTGATGGGGAGTCGACTCCAAAAGAGTCGATTCCTCGACCCGTAATAACCCTCATGTCGGAGTTGACTCCAGCACAGGAATCGACTCTCGATGTCGACTCCGTTGCTGTGTCTGAAATCGCTCAATCGTGCATCAGAGAGCTGGAGCTGTCGCAGAAACAACATCACAGTCACATGTAGCTTGCTTTACAAAAGATAACAGCCAATTACATTGTAATTATACATACCTCAATGCCAGCTTTGTGGTTTCACCAAAGTTTTTTTTTTAAAACAATCGATACTAATTTGGTTTGCCATGGTTTTTCATATTTGTGTTCATAATCAGTAAATGTTTACACTTTTTTTAATGTGTCCCTGTTAGAGTGTAATTTTACATTTAAATACTGAGTAATATTAATTAACTACATGCACTTACTAAAGGGTTACAGTAGGGTTAGGGTTTGGTTTAGGCCTAGTTGCATGTAATTATGCCTAATTTAAAGTTATTAATTTACAAAGTAGTAAATACATTAGCAACGCATCAGGGACACATCAAAATAAAGTGTTACCCAGTAAAGTAATCAATAAAAAAAACCTGCTAAAAATAAACACATTGGAATGAGTATTATGTGTATTATATGTATTCAGGCAAGACATTGTTTTCAGTATCTTGAACTTTCCTGTCCAAGCAGCTTTTTGGACTAAACTGGACTAATTTGGACTAAAACTGGACTAAACTGGACTACCACGCTTAACAGTGTGTGTATAGTTTTAGAAAAAAAAAAAAAAAAAAATATATATATATATATATATATATATATATATAATAGCCAACATTTAGTGTGTAATAATACGTCCATAAAGTTATGGTGGCAAAAAAAAAAAAATGAGATGGAAGAAAAAAACTGTCAATGATTTTGCGTTCTCTCGCAAAACCTTTGCGTTCCACCAAGAAACGTTGCGTTAGCCCGCAAAAACCTTTGCGTTCCCCTGAGAAACTTTGCATTTTCTTGCCTAAACGTTTTGTGTTCCCCTGAGAAAGTTAACGTTCGATCGCAAAACGGTTTGTGTACCTCCGGAAACTTTGCATTCCCTCGCAAAGTCGTTTGAGCTTTTTTTGTGAGCGAACACAAAGTTTCTCGGGAGAACGCAAAACATTTGCGAAAGAACGCAAATTTGAAGCTTTGACAAATATTTTTTCCTCCACCATGTCCCTTTAGGTGCTCCGTATAATAATGACGGCAATCTGGTATTCTCATTGCAGAACCTATTTTAATGGAGTCGGTTCCGCGAGTCTATTCCATTAAAGTCGGAAAACGGTGTCAACTGCCTGAAGAAGCATTTCATCAGCTTTGATTGAGAAATGCCATTGGCTTTTTTGTGCCTTGCGACTGATTGCGACATGCTAATGTTCAGGTGTATCATTTGAATTAGATATGACTGCATGCGTTCAAGGAGCGGGATCATTTTCAGCAATTAATTTAAAGCCTTAAGTTCCACTCTTTTCAAAGCAAAAAGATACTGTATGGCTTCAGGAGACTTGGAATTCAACACGGCTTGTTTTAAATACTTTTATACTGTGTTTTTGGCCAGTTTTTGCAATTAATACCTGTGACTACTTTTATTTGCCTGTTATGTGTTTTATATTGTTGAGAAGTGGGTAGGGGTGGTGATAGGTGAGCAAAGGAGTGCCCTGCACATTGAAAAATTATGATAAAGAGTTACCCTTGCATATTAGAAAGTGACGCCAAGGGTTCCTGACCAAGCGTCCAAATGTGACAAGTTGAAAGTGAGAACATGTTGTAAAAAAAAAAAAGACTGGGTCTCAAATAAATTTGCCGCACTATACGCCACAACTCTCTTGATGAACGTTTTCAGTACCTTATTTTTTGAATCGCCTAGTCCTAATGCTGCATCATCCACAAAGATTGGTTCCCACATGGAGTCATGTGCGTCAATATCCCTCTGTTTCATTCTGGCATACAGAGCATCGTCTCTCTGAACTACATTTCCCATCAACCACTGAAAGCATACAAAATCATCACCATCAAAGCAGTCACTTTTTCAAAAATTTTTAGAAGTGTGAGGAAATGCTGGCATTTTGTGGATTATGCTTCTAATGCTCTAAATCCAAGGCCATCCTTCAATAACTTCAACTACATCCGAGGACCAGCGAAACATTTTAACAAACAAGAGTTTTGACCAGTTCCCTGAGAGCTGTTATTGCTCAGTGGTTTTTAAATATTAGGGTCAGTACCCAAAAATAGGTCACAGATCTGTAGCTACTAATAGGCTCTCAGAGAGCATGGGTCCCCAATATAAATATAAATATCTGGGTCTAGAAGCAAAAACCAGCTGACACCTACTGATATACACTCACCTAAAGGATCATAAGGAACACCATACTAATAGAGAACTGCCTTAATTCTATGTGGCATTGATTCAACAAGATGCTGAGAGCATTCTTTAGAAATGTTGGCCCATATTGATAGGATAGCATCTTGCAGTTGATGGAGATTTGTGGGATGCACATCCAGGGCACGAAGCTCCCGTTCCACCACATCCCAAAGATGCTCTATTGGGTTGAGATCTGGTGACTGTGGGGGCCATTTTAGTTCAGTGAACTCATTGTCATGTTCAAGAAACCAATTTGAAATAATTCGAGCTTTGTGACTTTGTGACTAAAGTGTGCCAAAAAACATCCCCCACACCATTACACCACCACCACCAGCCTGCACAGTGGTAACAAGGCATGATGGATCCATGTTCTCATTCTGTTTACGCCAAATTCTGACTCTACCATCTGAATGTCTCAACAGAAATTGAGACTCATCAGACCAGGCAACTTTTTTCCAGTCTTCAACTGTCCAATTTTGGTGAGCTCTTGCAAATTGTAGCCTCTTTTTCCTATTTGTAATGGAGATGAGTGGTACCCGGTGGGGTCTTCTGCTGTTGTAGCCCACCCGCCTCAAGGTTGTGCGTGTTGTGGCTTCACAAATGCTTTGCTGCATACCTCGGTTGTAACGAGTGGTTATTTCAGTCAAAGTTGCTCTTCTATCAGCTTGAATCAGTCGGGCCATTCTCCTCTGACCTCTCGCATCAACAAGGCATTTTCACCCACAAGACTGCCGCATACTGGATGTTTTTCCCTTTTCACACCATTCTTTGTAAACCCTAGAAATGGTTGTGTGTGAAAATCCCAGTAACTGAGCAGATTGTGAAATACTCAGACACCAACAACCATGCCACGCTCCAAATTGCTTAAATCACCTTTCTTTCCTATTCTGACATTCAGTTTGGAGTTCAGGAGATTGTCTTGACCAGGACCACACCCCTAAATGCATTGAAACAACTGCCATGTGATTGGTTAATTAGATAATTGCATTAATACAAAATTGAACAGGTGTTCCTAATAATCCTTTAGGTGAGTGTATGTCTCTATGTTATAAATATATATGCAAATATATAAACAACTTAATGAGGACAGTATCACAACTATTATTTTATCTTACAACCATAGTACGTTACTAGCCAGCAGTGTCCTAAGCAATCACCTTTTTCCTAAAAAACTGCTAGTCCAGTCTAGATTATTATGTTGCTTTAAAGGGATACTCCACTTTTTTGGAAATAGGCTCATTTTAAAACTCCCCCAGAGTTAAACAGTTTGGTTTTACCATTTTCGAATCCATTCAGCCGATTTTCTGATATTTAGAAGAATATCAGTAACCAGACAGTTTCTGGTCTCATTGGCTTCCATAGTAGGAAAAAAATATACTATGGAAGTCAATGAGACCAGAAACTGTCTGGTTACTGATATTCTTCTAAAAATCAGAAAATCGGCTGAATGGATTCGAAAACGGTGAAACTCAACTCTTTAAGTCTGGGGGAGTTGTAAAATGAGCCTATTTCCAAAAAAAGTGGAGTATCCCTTTAACATATTACATATACTGTGGATTTGGGAAAAAAATATAAATAAATAGGGGGGAGTAATAAGCTATCTTATAACATTTGAGTGCTGTTTTCTGCGTCTTCTTATCTGTCTTAGATGCATTCATCTTATAGATGCAATAATGCATTTGTGAATTCTTGCAAAATATCATGTATGTCAGCATTGATAACTCACAAAACAGTCCTGCAGGTAATTATATGAACCACTTTGACGACAAAACGGTATTTCAGATGCTGTGCAAAGAGATCGGCCCGCTGGTAAGGGATTTATACGCTAAATGTGTTTCCATTGTGGTTTATGTGAATGTTTTCTTATCAGATAAAAGGTGTTGTCAACTCAATTGAATGCATAATTTTTTATGCACTTTTTTTTTTTTGCTAATTTATGCTCATTTTGGCATTTCCATCCAGCATTTATTTGAATTTTTTTGTTTGAAATCCCAAAATGTACGTAAAAATATGGGGATGAAATAGTTATTGACTCCAAATTGCTTTTGGAGAAGCCGTAACACAGTTTAAAGATGTAGATCAGACCACATTTTCTAAGAAATCAATGCAGAAATCCACTAACTGTATTTTCAAAGGCTTAACAAGCTTATTGTAGACACTGTATTTTCTTTTTATTATTTGACCTTATGTCATACCCATCATACCGAGTTTGATGTCATAGAAGGTAAAACAAAAGTTAATGAGTTATTTTCACTGCAATGACGGGTTATAGCATTTGGTTGTTTGCAAAAGTTATGCGAATATCTGTAGTCAACATATTACATTTCATATACTAATGTAGTGGTGGTTGCATTTTGTGCATTATGTTAAAAAAAAAGCTCAAATTCTACCTCAACATAAAACCACACTGATGTCTGCAAAAGCCAAGCAGCCTTTACATATGACTGCAAACACTGCTTTCATTGTCAAACAAATAATCTAAATGTACAGATTTTATAGGGCAGTCTCATGTTGACATTGAAATTACAGTGAAAATATGAATACAGACTAGACAGAACATTCAAAACAACCATTCACAAGTAACAGGCATTGACACTGACATCGATTTGCAGTGACAAAGCCACCTGGAGTCATTTAGGCCTATTTAAATTCAGAGTTGCCAACAGATTCCCGGCAACATGAGTGTCAGCGCCCGTTTTCAATGTTCTGTTTTAAACGCTGTATTTGTGAAAATTTGACAGAAACATACCGAGCATTCATTTTTATCTGTTTTCTATGGAAGCTTGTTTCTGCCACATAATAATAAAAAAGGTTTATCTCTTTGTATCTCACAATTCTGACTTTTTTATATTTAAAGGCGCAATTGCGAGATATAAATTCATAAATGCATGATATAAAGTAGCAATTGCCTGTATTAAGTCAGAATTGTGAAATATAAACTCGCAAGTCTGACTTTTTTTCTCATAATTGCGTGTTTATATCTTGCAATTCTGACATTATAACACGTAATTAGGAGTTATCAAGTCAGAATTGCATGATATAAAGTATCGAGACTCAATTCTGACTTTATATCTCGCAAATCATACTTTATTAAATAAAGTTGTGAACTCGCAATTATCTTTTAAAATGTTTCATTTCATTTCTCAAGTCATGTGGCACAGAAAACAAGCCAGTGCCTTTCTACTGCACAGACAGCCGAGCTTTACCAAGTGGTCAACGGGGAACCTTACTGTAAAGTGTCACCACACAATTTGTATAATTCCCTTTATTCAACTTTAAATGTATAAATCCTGTTAAAGTTACTGTGCAGCTATTATAAACTTTGCCAAGCGTTTGAATTTCAAACATACTTTGTTGGGATCCATTCTCATTCTTTCATTGTTGGCTGTGGAGGCTTTCTCCGCCGCTCTCTTCTGCCGCTGCGGTCCCCTACCGAAGAAGATGTAGTTGACCAGTGCGTACTCCAGCAGAGCCAGGAAGACGAACACGAAACAGCCCATCAGGTACATGTCAATGGCTTTGACGTACGGAATCTTTGGAAGAGTCTCCCTCAAATGTGTGTTGATGGTGGTCATGGTCAGCACAGTGGTGATGCCTAAGTTCAAAAGGGAATTATTGTTAAGGGTGCAGATGACAAAAAGTGAATTCTATTAAGGAACCATAATTCTTGGAAACAAAGAAGACAGGCAGGATCAAGGAGGGGAGGTTGAAGCGAGTGGCTCGAAGGGAAAGGGTTTTAAAGCGCCCCTATCATGGATTTTTGAAAATGACTGTTCATATGGTGTGGAATATAACTCTAAGGGAATGAAAACATCCTGCAAAGATTTATATCTGAAAGTGCACCGTATATAAAGTTATTGTCTTTCAAAAGTGAGAGTCGACTCTGAGTCTATGAAATGAATTGTTTTTGAAACGAGTCATTAGCTGTTACATCGTGACGTAGAGAGACGGAAGTGTAAACTTGAAGTCTACACATTCAAATACTTCATCATAGCATCATGTCGAGAAGACGCTGTGTTCTACAATGCAAAGATATTTCAGCCACTTTGTTTTCATTTCTAGGGACGAGCATGTGAAGAATCGGTGGTTAGAGTTCATATTTGCAACGATACCACAACAGTATAGCCCGATTGTGTTCTCATCATTTTAACGACGAATCGTTCAAAAACATAAATGAATTCAAATGTGGATTCGCAAGCGGTTGTTCCTGAAGGAGGGCTCAGTAACTTACTTACCCAGTTTATATGGATCAGCTTCCTCCTCCGAATCACAACCTGTAAGTATTATTAATAATTGTTGCTTTTATGGGTTTTAAACGGTTTTGTAGCGTTGGGCGCGAGGAGGGAAGGCACAATAAGTATGTGTCTGTGTGTGTGCAACTTCTAGGTCTCCAATGTCAATTTTTTGTTAAATATGTGAAATGTTTGTCGCTGTTATTGGAGTTGTCATAAAGAATAGAGCGTCTTGTAGTACTGCAGTGCTTTATCAATATGTTTATGCGTTATGCTAACAAACAATAACTGACTGGGTCTGTCATCTGACCAATCCCCGCCGATTAGCGTCACGCAAAGGAGTGGTTTGGAAAAATTAGTCGTTGTACGAATCATTTGGGAGTCGGTGAGCAAATCAGTTAAAAATAAATGCATATTATAAGGGGGGGGGGGGGGGGGGGGGATCTTGTTTGTTTACATGTCAACTGATCGCCTTCACCTGTCCTTCACTTCTCTTGTTACCTTTATGTAGGGTGACCAACTGTCCTGTTTTCCCAGGACATGTCCTGTTTTCAAATAACAATGTAACAATTTTCTATCCATACAGAGGAGGCATAACCTACTTTAAGTGTATTGAAATTAATAAGGTATCTTCGAGTAAACTTCGAGTATCATTTGAGTAGGCCCATCTGTTTGCCGGGCCGAGTGTCCTGGTTTTTGGTAATCAAAATATGGTCACCCTACCTTTTTATGTATTTAAACCCTCATTCATTGTCTGATCATTGTCTTGAAGTTGAAGTTCCGTGCTGGTGTTTCTCTGTATCGTTCCTCGTGTTTATTAAATATGTTGACATTTTTCTTCTGCATCAAGTATCTTTGTTGATTATCACGTCTAGCCAGCGTGTGGAAATTGCATTCTATGAAAACCAAATGAGATCACCCCAAGTTTGTCCTCATTTAGAAAGTTCGAAAAACATGTGCGATGTGTGAGGGGGCATTATCAGAATTCTTTTCTTTCAGTTGATGATTCACAATCTTAAAATGGTGTGATTTTTGATGCTCTCAGCCGGCAGAGTGGGAGCTAGGCACCTTAATTGGTGAAACACAAAGCCTTCCTGCTTCTCAACAGTGATTAAGAAATAGTTCTGTCATTTTAAGCAGTGAAATATCCAGTCAGTGTCATTCTGACAATTTTCATGAAATTCACCGCTGATCCTTTGACGGGTATTACAGCGCTTACATGAGGTACAAAGTTAGTATTGTTCAAAAATCCTTGTGTTTTAGTGTCATTATTTGCACTTTAACAGATGCCAAATCGTGTTATCGAAACCTCCTTTTCAACGAAAAAGTTTCTCATCTCTTTTTGGCTGCTACGTACTGTACTGCAAGTTTAATATGCATATGGTACCAATATAGCCATGATTCAACTTGACCAATAGCACAACAGATTAGGTACTCATACTCCTGCCTCATGGTATTGGCTAAACCAGATAGTTATGCACTTGATGCACAGTACTGTGGTAATTGACACACATTATATACCACATTTGCATCCACATATTTTATGATTCTAATCAGCATGAGCTTTAAACACCTATATCTGCTCATCCTAAATATACACAATCACTCAGACTTCTGTTAAATGCTACAGTTGTCCTTATCCATGTGTGTTTAATTTTCATGGACTTTTAAGGTAAGTTTACATGACAAATATATGCTTAAAGGAGAATTCCGGCGCAAAATGAACCTTTGGTCTAATTACATTTTTACCTAGTCAATCGTTATCTGAGATTTGTTTTCATGATTGCCGAATGTAAATAGTTTTATCTGTAAAAACAGTTTAGCCTATAACGCTAATATAACGCTAGTATATAGGGCATAGAGTAATGACAAATAAAAATCGCTTGTTATTACCACTAACAAGGCTCAAAATAGCCCCACACTAACACGGTAGCATAATAAGGGTCCCTACATTCAAACCGAAGCATTGAGAACTTTGTCAGTGTCCATACAGTTTAATAAGAAGATATTTTATACACACAGTGAAACTTCGCGAAAACAGGAAGAAGCCATCTTTGAAAAATAGTCTCTACCAGTCGATCTATGAACGCCGATCCAAGTGCGCTGAACTGTGCAGAATCTCATATGGTCCGTTGTTTCCGGAAGAAACACAAACGCAAACCATTTTGTTCTCTTCAATATGTACACGTAGACTACTGTTCGCGATCACCTTATCACCTTATTCACATCTCACCAGCGCACTTGGATCAGCGTTCGTAGATCGACTGGTAGAGACTATTTTTCAAAGATGGCTTCTTCCTGTATTCGTGAAGTTGACTGTATGTATAAAATATCTTCTTATTAAACTGTATGGACACTGACAAAGTTCTCAATGCTTCGGTTTGAATGTAGGGACCCTTGTTATGCTGTCGTGTTGGTATGGGGCTATTTTGAGCGTTGTTAGTGGTAATAACAAGCGATTTTTATTTGTCATTACTCTATGCCCTACGTATATACTAGCATTATACTAGCGTTATAGGCTAAACTGTTTTTACAGATAAAACTATTTACATTCGGCAATCATAGAAACAAATCTCAGATAACGGTTGACTAGGTAACAATGTGTAATTAGACCAAAGATTCATTTTGCGCCGGAGTTCTCCTTTAAAACAGAGAAGTTTTTCCTTTGAGTTTTCCGCGTGATCCACATTCGTGTCTTCACAGTGTTTCTTTGCCTTCTTCATATGTGTGGACCACCTGAGTTTTATTTAATAAATCCCTTTTGTTTTTGACCCTTTGAATCTTGTTCATCTTCCTCAGGACCTACAGTATACATGGCAACAGTGGTTCAAACTTGTGTGGATGAACAAGGCCAAGCCAGACAGCAATCACAAAGAGTGCTCTTTTATTCACAGTGAGAAGCCAGTCTCAGCCTTATATAATCAGTGATGACAGGAAAAATGTGGCGGCTTACGAGAGAAGGGGGGTGGTGGACGTGTGGTGAAAAATAAAATCCAATGAGTAAAAATGTCTGTCACGATGCTTGATTAAACACTTTTAAAAAGGATATCAGAGGGCACTTGGGGTGAATCATGTTCCAGTGATATTACATACACAAGGGAAGATCATTAATAGAACAGGGAACAGGGGAGATAGTAACCAGGAACCTGGAAAACACTGATAGATGGACCTCTTAAAGGAGTAGTTCACTTTTGCTGATAATTTACTCACCCCCATGTCATCCAAGATATCCATGTCTTTCTTTCTTCAGTCGAAAAGAAATTAAGGTTTTTGATAAAAACATTCCAGCATTTTCCTCCATATAATGGACTTCATTGGGAACCAAACGGTTCAAGGTCCAAAAGACAGTTTTAGTGCAAACTGTTCAAAGGGCTTTAAATGATTCCAGATGGCGAATAAGGGTCTTATCAAGCGAAACGATCACTCATTTAAAAAAAAGATATATAAAGTTTAAGTTTTATAAGCTCAAATGGTCGCCTTGCTCTGTAAGAGCAGCATATGTCACGTCAGAGTTCCTACTGGTGGTGGCTTGTTCCTATAACCAAGTTCCTATTACTAGCCTGTCTGAAATGGGTTCATGACAACTAATGATAGAATCAGACTCAGGAAAAGGGTGACAATTAAATCAAACAAAACAAGATAATAAAACTAAACCAAACAGAACAGAACAAGACATGAACGTGACATTTACATCATCATATTATTTTCTTGATAAAAAAAAAAAAATTGCAGTGGCAGTACAAATATATAGTGGGTGACCTCAGGTGCATTTTCTTGATTTTTTTCAAGAGTAGAAAAGAAGGAGAGAACTACGGAGCCCCTCTAGTCCCACTTTGGTAAGAAAAAAATTAATTATAACTATCTTGTGGCCACAAGTTACTATCTTGAGGCCACGAGTTACTATCTTGTGGCCACGAGTTAGTATCTTGAGGCCACGAGTTACTATCTTGTGGCCACGAGTTAGTATCTTGTGGCCACGAGTTAGTATCTTGTGGCCACGAGTTAGTATCTTGTGGCCACGAGTTAGTATCTTGTGGCCACGAGTTACTATCTTGAGGCCACGAGTTACTATCTTGAGGCCACGAGTTACTATCTTGTGGCCACGAGTTACTATCTTGAGGCCACGAGTTACTATCTTGAGGCCACGAGTTAGTATCTTGAGGCCACGAGTTACTATCTTGTGGCCACGAGTTAGTATCTTGAGGCCACGAGTTACTATCTTGTGGCCACGAGTTAGTATCTTGTGGCCACGAGTTAGTATCTTGTGAACACGAGTTACTATATTGAGGCCACGAGTTACTATCTTGTGGCCACGAGTTACTATCTTGAGGCCACGAGTTAGTATCTTGTGGCCACGAGTTACTATCTTGTGGCCACGAGTTACTATCTTGAGGCCACGAGTTAGTATCTTGAGGCCACGAGTTACTATCTTGAGGCCACGAGTTACTATCTTGAGGCCACGAGTTACTATCTTGTGGCCACGAGTTAGTATCTTGAGGCCACGAGTTACTATCTTGTGGCCACGAGTTACTATCTTGAGGCCACGAGTTAGTATCTTGAGGCCACGAGTTACTATTTTGTGGCCACGAGTTACTATCTTGAGGCCACGAGTTACTATCTTGTGGCCACGAGTTAGTATCTTGAGGCCACGAGTTAGTATCTTGTGGCCACGAGTTACTATCTTGAGGCCACGAGTTAGTATCTTGTGGCCACGAGTTAGTATCTTGAGGCCACGAGTTACTATCTTGTGGCCACGAGTTAGTATCTTGAGGCCACGAGTTACTATTTTGTGGCCACGAGTTACTATCTTGTGGCCACGAGTTACTATCTTGAGGCCACGAGTTACTATCTTGTGGCCACGAGTTAGTATCTTGAGGCCACGAGTTACTATCTTGAGGCCACGAGTTACTATCTTGTGGCCACGAGTTACTATCTTGTGGCCATGAGTTACTATCTTGTGGCCACGAGTTACTATCTTGAGGCCACGAGTTAGTATCTTGTGGCCACGAGTTACTATCTTGAGGCCACGAGTTAGTATCTTGAGGCCCTGAGTTACTATCTTGTGGCCACGAGTTAGTATCTTGTGGCCACGAGTTACTATCTTGAGGCCACGAGTTACTATCTTGAGGCCACGAGTTACTATCTTGAGGCCACGAGTTACTATCTTGAGGCCACGAGTTACTATCTTGTGGCCACGAGTTACTATCTTGAGGCCACGAGTTACTATCTTGTGGCCATGAGTTACTATCTTGTGGCCACGAGTTACTATCTTGAGGCCACGAGTTAGTATCTTGTGGCCACGAGTTACTATCTTGAGGCCACGAGTTACTATCTTGTGGCCATGAGTTACTATCTTGTGGCCACGAGTTACTATCTTGAGGCCCTGAGTTACTATCTTGTGGCCACGAGTTAGTATCTTGTGGCCACGAGTTACTATCTTGAGGCCACGAGTTAGTATCTTGAGGCCACGAGTTACTATCTTGAGGCCACGAGTTACTATCTTGAGGCCATGAGTTACTATCTTGTGGCCACGAGTTACTATCTTGAGGCCACGAGTTACTATCTTGTGGCCATGAGTTACTATCTTGTGGCCACGAGTTACTATCTTGAGGCCATGAGTTACTATCTTGTGGCCACGAGTTACTATCTTGAGGCCACGAGTTACTATCTTGTGGCCATGAGTTACTATCTTGTGGCCACGAGTTACTATCTTGAGGCCACGAGTTACTATCTTGTGGCCACGAGTTACTATCTTGAGGCCACGAGTTACTATCTTGAGGCCACGAGTTACTATCTTGAGGCCACGAGTTACTATCTTGAGGCCACGAGTTACTATCTTGTGGCCACGAGTTACTATCTTGAGGCCACAAGATAGTTATAATTAATTTTTTTTACCAAAGTGGGACTAGAGGGGCTCCGTAGAGAACCCTTCTGCATAACAGAAGAAAGGAATGTATAGGGATAGGTGAGTGTTTATATACTGTATGTCACCATGTATGTGCGCCTACCTAAAGCAACCCTGGCAGCCGAGGCATCATAGTTGATCCAGAAGGATACCCAAGACAGGATGGTGATTAGGATTGAAGGCATGTAGGTCTGCAGAATGAAGTAGCCAATGTTTCTCTTAAGCTTGAAGCTCAGGGAGAGGCGAGGATATGAACCTGGATGAAAATAACCAAGCAACAAGTTATTATAAAATGCTTTTTGAACAGTTTAAGGAATTTGTATATTTTGTCATAGTCCTCAATACGCCCTCTGTTATTCTTAATTATGCATCATATTGTGTAATATATGTAATATTCACATTTGTATATTGCATATATAATTTGACTGATTTCATTTATATTCATTAAATATATTTACATATCTCTTTCCATATACACTGAACAAAATTATAAACGCAACACTTTTCTTTTTGCCCCCATTTTTCATGAGCTGAACTCAAAGATCTAAGACTTTTTTCTACGTACACAAAAGGCCTATTTCTGTCAAATATTGTTCATAAATCTGTCTAAATCTGTGTTAGTGAGCACTTCTCCTTTGACGAGATAATCCATCCACCTCACAGGTGTGGCATATCAAGATCCTGATTATTGCACAGGTGTGCCTTAGGCTACGTTCACACCGGACGCGAATAGCGCGTCAAATTCGCGTCTACCGCGTCTAGTTTGGCGCTTGACCACTTTGTGTTAATTCGCGTGTCAAGAGCGAAACTGACGCAGGTGAAATAAAAAGTTTGAAGCAAAATTTACGCGCGTCAAAACAGAAACCCGTTGACGGCCATCTTTGTTTATGTTGATCGAGCATTCATCGAGAGATTCACCGCACTGTATTTGCTCTGGAGAGCTAGAACAGCGGCGTGGGGATCATCGTCGCCGTATTTGTGTCCACCGGACCCTTCGGAGGCGAACCGATTGGCGAGTTTCACCATTTGCTCGCTCCAGGAGCTACGCCTGGATGACGGCCGCTGTCAGCGGTACTTCCGCCTGTCCCGCTCCCAGTTTGATGACCTGTTGTCCCGCATCTGAGCGAGCGAGAATCACCTTCGCCCCCATCCACCTAATCTAGCTGTCATTTATTTTTGTTTTGATGATAAATAGAGCCAGCTTTCAAAAGTTATTAACCTGTCCTGTGATTTTTTTCTCTCTCACATCCAGACTTTACATCATAATACTATTTCATATAATCTAGATATGTAATGAATTACATTTAATGTCTTATATATAGAAACAATGTTTTCAGTGATAAAATATTTGCTTTGTTGTGCATTAGAACCACACCAGGGGCTCATGTATAAACGTTGCGTACGCACAAAATGGGCATTTTTCCACGCGCACATCGGGATTTCTAAAAAATAAACTTGGCGTAAATAAGTGCGCACCGTAAGGATGCTCTTGACCATGCGTACGCACTCTTTTAGAAGAGTATGGGTTTTGGCGACACCGATGGTGAGCTGGAGTCAAATGTCTTTTTGCTTACTAAAGAATCTAAAGAAAATTATACGTCTACAGAAAGATAATACAAATATAATTTCACAAACCTATCATCACTTGAAGCAAACATCCATCCCTTCTTAAATGACCGCGCCAGCACGCGGCGCGCGTTGGACCGTTTGGTGAAACTGACGCACATATAGCTAGCCTATAATCTAACGGCAGATGGAGTAAAACCGTAAATCTTCATTATGAGTCCAAATCATAAATACAGTCCATATTCACAATAACAGAATGGTTTAAACTATGTTTTACTTCTGATATAAACATTTAGATTAAATATGCCATTCTCATTAATGGAGTTAAACTCTTAAACTACATGAAATCATTACTGAGAAGTTACAATATATATATATATATATTCAATAAATAGAAATAGACCTATTTGTTGTGGATGCATTGCTTTTGAACACTTTTCTTCTGGCATGCTGTGTTTTATGTTTTAACTAGAGATTGTCTAAGAAAACTGTTTCGTGCAAATAATGCACAACCATGTCTATCTCTTTCCATTAAAATATAAATCAATTAAAAATACTATTTGGCCAGTGGAAAAGATTGAGAAAAACTTTCTCTGGAATGTATTTAACACTATTTGATTTATTCATTCAAAAACAAGGCAAGGATATAGGATGAATAATCATATGCAAAGGATATGCAGATGAGGATATGAATATTTAAACTAGGCGTTGTAATCTCCATATATGGTTATTTCGGGGAGGAGACGCACGTGCGCATAATCTCCCGCTGACTGGGATTTATAAAGTGAATTCTGCGCAGGTTTTGGCGTACGAACGGTTTTATAAATCTGAAAACTTTTGTGCGTACGCAAATTCTGCCTTATGTGCGTACGCACACTTTAAGGATGAAATCTACACAAAGTTTTATACATATTACAAAATAATTTATTGAAGCATTCAGACACTTCACCATGTGAGCAAGCAGCTAGGCTCCTGATTGGTTAATGCGGCGCGAATTCACGGCAAAGTTCCGATTTTTCAACTCGGCGGCAGAATTCGCCTCAAACGCGTGAATGCAGAAATGGCACTAACTAAATAATTCGCGCCTAACGCGCCAGACGCTCAATTCGCCCCATTTGCGCAAATGAGGCGTCTTCCGCGCCGCAGGAATTTTTTACGCGCGTAATGCGTCTTTGCATTGACTTAACATTGAAATCATTCGCGCCTGACGCGCTATTCGCGTCCGGTGTGAACGTAGCATTAGGCTGTCCACAATAAAAGGCCACTCTAAAAGGGAGGCAAAAACAAACGATTTTGTTCAGAGTATATTGTCTTTAATAAGACAATATATGTAGGGGAAGAAAGCAAAATACAAGGGAGACAGGAGATGGGATCACAAAAAAAAAAAAAAATCACAAAAAAAAAAACATGCCATATGTCAGAGCAGAGCCCATATGACTGCTTCGACAGATACATCATTTGTTATAACAGCATGTTACTGGATGAGGATAAAAAAAGGAAAATAATAGAAAGTGTATTAGCTTTACACTACAAATGCAATGGAGTAGCAATTTAGACTATGCTACTGCTCAAAAAGGACCATAAAATCCATTTTAGATTCAATTTTCAGAATCTGTCTTATATCTTCACAATCCTCAGTAGCAACTCTAACATTCAAATCCTGCACTCATTAAAAATGAAAAATACCAGAAAAGTAATGACAAAGGATTTATATCAGTAATGTCAAATGGTCATGGTGCTTCATTACTGAAGCATGTGGACTTTAATAAAGCATGTTAAGATTTTCAGTGATTAAAAACTTTAAAAGTTACTCCATACTTCACCCAAAGCTATTGTATACTGTGAGAGAGTACTTCAGATTTTTTGTATATCTCTATATGAAGAGTTCAGATGCAAAAGCCTCTAAATGCCATTTGAAATTTTTATCAAACTTGTATATTTAAGTTTGGTGATTTCACTTAAACGGCAATGATAATTACCTATTAATTGTTATTTAAGTGAAATTACTGAACTTAAGTATACAAGTTTGATAAAAATCATCATTAAAGAAGAAAATTTCAAATGGCATTTAGAGGCTTTTGCATCTGAACTCTTCATATGTTTCCTACAGATAACTACATAAAACACAATTAGACCCACCAGGAATTATACTGTATATCATGTGCGGTGTACAGATAATGGAATAAGGTAAATACATTTTAATATGGGGGAGTTAGGTGGTGAACTGTGTGAACCAAACATAACTTTTAAAGACTGCATCTACAGCTAACCTCCTGATTTGGATGACACATTCATGAATATGAAAATGTTGTCTATGAATAAATCAAGTGGCCACACAACGATTTGTTAAATAACTTATAAGAACAGACTTAGTGTTTGTTTTTCATTCTCAGACCAGGGTTAATTCATACAACCGCTGGGGCCTGAGACGCCACTAGCCATGCCAAATTGAGAGGGTTCATAAACCCAGAAGAGTTGCTTATTTTACTAGGGTTCATGAATAAATTGCTTTCTGACTGACTCTGCCCACAAGAGCCAGCCGCATATGTGTATATGGAGTAAATGGGTTTTCAACCTCAAAGTGTCCTAAAATGTGATGCAATTTTTGCATCTGAGAATATAACTGTACTTTTTAGTAGCCTACTAAGTAAAGACTTTACCTTTACTTTATCAGTCAGACAGTTATTTCAGATTTTGGCTTATTCCGACAGTGTAGTTTGGTTTTATTACCTGTAGAAAACACCACGTTTTTCGAGATGAGTTTGTAGTCCACTATAGAGAACTGAGGAAGCTCTATCCTTTCAACCCCCGTTACTGCATGGTCGCCACCTCGCCAGTAGAACTCAATATCATCTGTGGTGTAGCCATCTGAGGGACACAAGGGCAGATGTTAAAACATATATGGATGGGGGTCATGTGATTGATGTCTCATTGGTTGTTTTAAAGACTTGGTCATTAAAATGGCCAAAAATAGGCATATTCTGGCATCCCTACATGCGTAAGTAATGAAAAAAAGAAATAAATGACACAGCTTACTGTCCAACAATGAGAATCTTGCATAATCTTGCAAATCCATTACACAAATCAACACACACACTTGCTAAGCTAACTTAAGCTGATTAGTTAGTGACCTAAAAAACAACAACACGATGTTTATGAACATTTTCTGCAGCCGTGTGATAAATACAGTGATAAATTGTTGAAAAAAAAAAAGTGGTTGGATAAATGTAACTTTCCCAGATTATGGACCGTCATCTTCTGCAAACACAGTCTTAATTCATTATAAACTTTGCATATACATAATTCAACATGTTAAATCATTCAAGGCATGCTAAGATGTGAAGAATTATAAATGATGAAAAATGTGATAAAGTTCAGCTGTGAACATTTACTACATCTGAAAGGAGCTCTGTAATGGACTTGTAATATGGGTCATGATATGAGATATTCTCTTCTATCTGATTACAACGGAGGAGCGTGTGTGTGTCATATGTTGTTGCCTGAATCATTATTTTATATTATTTGTTACAAATGGACAAATCCAACCCATCCGCAAGCCTGGGCAATGAGTTTCCCCTTGAATGTTTTTGCTGAGGTTAAGGCCTTAAATTGGAGTATATAAATGGATAAATACAACTATGAAGGGAAAAATAATATTGCATTTTTGTCACATTGAAATGCACTTGATAGTAAAGAAAAACATATTTCATGAATGTTTAACCATTTTGGTTAGGCCATACCCTTGACTTCTATTGTATGGACAAAAAAAAAAAATCAAATGATTTTCTTTTATGTTCCACAGAAAGATAGACATTCAGGTTTGGAGTGGCATTGATTCAACAAGGTGCTGAAAGCATTCTTTAGAAATGTTGGCCCATATTGATAGGATAGCATCTTGCAGTTGATGGAGAATTGTGGGATGCACATCCAGGGCACGAAGCTCCCGTTCCACCACATCCCAAAGATGCTCTATTGGGTTGAGATCTGGTGACTGTGGGGGCCATTTTAGTACAGTCAACTCATTGTCATGCTCAAGAAACCAATATGAAATGATTCGAGCTTTGTGACATGGTGCATTATCCTGCTGGAAGTAGCCATCAGAGGATGAAGGGATGGACATGGTCAGAAACAATGCTCAGGTAGGCCGTGGCATTTAAACGATGTCCAATTGGCACTAAGGGGCCTAAAGTGTGCCAAGAAAACATCCCCCACACCATTACACCAACACCAGCAGCCTGCACAGTGGTAACAAGGCATGATGGATCCATGTTCTCATTCTGTTTACGCCAAATTCTGACTCTACCATCTGAATGTCTCAACAGAAATCGAGACTCATCAGACCAGGCAACATTTTTCCAGTCTTCAACTGTCTTAGCTTCAAATGCTTAGCTCCGTATCTCTGTTGTAACGAGTGGTTATTTCAGTCAAAGTTGCTCTTCTATCAGCTTGAATCGGTCGGCCCATTCTCCTCTGACCTCTCGCATCAACAAGGCGTTTTCACCCACAGGACTGCCACATACTGGATGTTTTTTCCCTTTTCACACCATTCTTTGTAAACCCTAGAAATGGTTGTGTGTGAAAATCCCAGTAACTGAGAAGATTTGTGAAATACTCAGACACCAACAACCATGCCACGCTCCAAATTGCTGAATTCACCTTTTTTTCCCATTCTGACATTCAGTTTGGAGTTCAGGAGATTGTCTTGACCAGAACCACACCCCTAAATGCACTGAAGCAACTGCCAAGTGCCATTATAATTGCATTAATGAGAAATTGAACAGGTGTTCCTAATAATCCTTTAGGTGAGTGTATCAGCCCACCAGGAAAGTGCCTGGTATGCCAGTTTAGCAATCTAGCCCTGGTTGAGTTGAACCTGTGTTATTAGAGAGCAGAGTATAAGCACATGCAAGCCTTGGGTCAAAATCATTGTCAAGTCAAATCATACGGCACTCCATTTCTGACCTCAGCTGCAGAAAAAAGCCATCATAAATATTCAAACAAAACATGAGATATTTGGTTTGCTTCAGTGCTCCCTGTGCTGAAACTGACAGAAACACGAACAGCCAGCCCATCTAGCCATAAATGATTGAGAAACATCTTATTGTATCGGAGCAAACAGCACTCCGCATCAGACCAGAAAACTTGGTCTTGCATAATCCATCCATGGATGGTCCCCTGAGCGACTGTTGACTTATCAGACTGAGGGCCAAAATGCAAAATGATGATATATCAGAGAAAAATATCCAAAGTGTCAGCAGATAAAATAAAGCGTTTCAGAAAATAAAAATACAAATCTATAATTGTTTTACTCTGGTGTCTTTCGAACCCTTCCTTGGAACACAAATTATGTAAAGCAGAATGGTGAATCTTTTCTTTTCCATACAAAGAATGTTATTGTTGACTATCATATTTACTGAATAATGACTGTTTTCATGGAAATATAGTCCATGATTTAGACTATCTTCATGCTGCTTTTTGGAACTTGACAGACCTTGGTCTTTGTTCATTTTCAATATATGGGAAAAAAAAAAATCATGAACAAAACAAAAGTCCATTTTGTTTAGAACAACGTGAAAATTATGACTAAGACTAAGAGCAATTGAAAACATTAGGGTTACTTATGTAACACTATGGAAATGCCTTCAGCGTGAGTAAGTGTATGAAGCATGTGTGAATTCACAGATGAGTGGTTATCTATTCAGTGGGTATTATTTTTCCCATAGTGTCAACGTAATGACGCAGTGTAGAGTTCTCTCGAAAGGGAACGTCTAGGGTTATGTATATAACCCATGTTCCCTAAGAAGGGAACGAGACGCTGTATCTCATTGTCATACCCCAGGCATGCCAGCAGACAACCTGAACCTTAAAAATCTAATTTATACAAAACAACAACAACAACAAAAAAAGGATTAAAATGACCATTTTAGTGGTCTTTTCCCTGGTAAAATGACCATTACATCACACAAACATGACTTCATATTATTTTGCAAGGAATAATGGCATTTGTGTGGTTGGTTGGGCCATTTAAAGCCACTTAACTCCATTGTTTCTATGTCACTGAGCCTGACTTTGCAAATTAGCTTTTGCCAACATTCCTGTCAGGGCTCTTACATCACTCGCTCCGGTAGCCGTGAACCCACATGCACAGGAGCTCCAGGATGAGAACGAGGAAGAGGAATAGTGTTAAAAAGCAAGTTGTTCCATTTCGGTTAGAAGGATCCCTAACCGAAATGGAACCTCGTAAGTGGCGGATTAGCACATACTGTAAAAGAAATCAAAAATTGATTTCAATTAAGTTTGCTGTCAACAGGCTACTCAGTCAAGTAAAGTCACATTATATACAAAACAGATTGTTTTAAAGCATCTCCACAGTAATAAAACGAAGAGTAAAAAACAGAATCAATGACATAAACTTCATCAAATATGAGACCAATTCAAATGTTGCTGTAAAAAGATAACATTGTTGTTACTCAGCTCGAGTCAGTTCAAGTTTTGTTCTCATTTGGAAGTTCTCACACTGTAAAAAAAATATTGTTGGTTTAACTTAAAAAAAAAAAAGTAACCTGGTTGCCTTAAAATTTTAAGTTCATTGAAATTGAAAAATTGAGTTAATCCAATGAAGGAGATTGATTTAATCACCAGAAACTCAAAATATTATGCTATCTGAACTACATAAATTATTTAAGTTGATTTGACAAAAGAAAAAATGTTGTGATCACAAATCATGAAAATATATTTTTTAGAGTGCAGTGCAGTCAAATCAATAACATTACTAATATTACTAATTTTATGCAATGATCTAATAAGAATAAAAAAACAGTGCACATAATGGTCACAAAAGTGATGCACTGTAAAAAAAAAAAAAAATCATGATTGGTTATAACGTTTTTTCAAATCAACTTAGATAATTTACGTGGTTCAGATAACATAACATTTTGAGTTTCTGATTATAAAAATCAATCTCCTTCATTGTATTGACTCAATTTTTCAATTTCAATGAACTTAAAGTTTTAAGACAACCAGGTTACTTATTTTTTTTAAGTTAAACCAACAATATTTTTTTTTTTACAGTGTGACACTTCCAAATGAGAACAAAACTTGAACTGACTCGAGCTGAATAACAACAATGTTATCTTTTTAGAGCTGTTTTACAGCAACATTTGAATTGGTCTCATATTTGATGAAGTTTATGTCATTGATTCTGTTTTTTACGTTTATTTTTTTTTTTAAGTTAAACCAACAATATTTTTACAGTGTGGGTAAAATAGTCGTTTTAATAAGTCTGAGCTGTTTTAAAACTCAGTATTGGAAAAAAAAAAACAAACTATATTTACTATAACTATATCCACTTAAGACAATTGATTATGGAATGCCTTTTACACATGGATGCATGTAAAACTGCCTTGGAAGTTACATAAATAAAGGAATTTTTGACCGATTTTTCAGCCTTTGTGTCAAGTGTGCCTATAATGCCTAAAAATGCTTCTTTAGGCAAGCCCACAAAGTTTTATAAAGGTTTCTGGGATCTTAAAACAGTCCCGCTTTGAAATTTGCTTAAATTTCTCATATTTGCATAAAAAAATGCCCCTCATTAAAGCATTATGGATATTAATAAGGATTAAACATAAATAACCTGAAGTTAGGATGCACTTTACTGTGTCTGAACTACATGACAATTCTTAAAAAGCCAGTCATCCCTTAAAAGAGGATAAAACCCTCACCCCTAAGTGGCAGGGTGAGACTAAAGGAGCAAAAGGCCTCGTAGCTATACTTTCCAATTCATGTTGTAGAATCGTCTACTAGCGCATTTAACAAAAAAAGAAAACAGATCTAAAGTGGGAACGTCTCCAGTAATGCACGTGTGCCTC